TATATATATATATATATATATATATATATATATATATATATATATATGTTTAAATATGTATAACAGGTCAGCTACTTCTTCTTTAACTGCTGTGAATCTGTGCAGGAGATCCACCCGCTTCTCTTCAGAATTCACAACAATGATCTGACCTCTTTACAGAGCTGGCTGTTATTCATTTATGTATTTTACTCTGGTGATGGTGGAAAAAAGGAGGCAGATCAGAATGACTTGTGAGATGTCCTAACGACTTGTGGGAGGTGTGGGCTTGGAGGGGGGTGGTGATGGAAACGAGGGGCAGAGATGAGAAGAGGGGGGATAAAAATGAGAGTGGAGTGGAGAGAAGAAGAAGAAGCCACTCACGGGAGCAGTTTCTTCTCATGTCGTGGCTTTAATTGCTTTCTAGCAGTTGTCACAATGACAGCGCCGCGGGGAGGGCCGCGCCGCTCAGACATGCGCCGATCCACGTGCGCACACTCGCGCAACAGTGCAAGCTGCAGGGGAGAGGAGAAAAGTTCAAATGACCCACTCTTTGTTGGAGAAAAGCCCCTTCTTTCCCTCGCACCATCTAAATTCACACGTCAGGGCCTGCCTCTCAGGCAGCAGTAACCATCTGGGCAGACATTTTTACGGCAGTGCAGGGGATAGACGTTTATTAGCTGCGTTAAGTTTTATGATTAAAATATAGTTTTATGATTATTTTCCCCTTTTTTATTAATTGTGCCGTGGGGTTGGTGAAGATATGAGACAAAGTGATGTTGACGTGAGAATTCAGTGTGAAATATTACTCAGAGCGCGCTACTGAAATGAATGAGGAGTTTCTGATAAACCTTAGCAACTGCTATGGCTGAGCTCCTCTCCACACATCTCCTCCTCTTCTCGGCATCCTCTCCCTCTCTGCCTGTTTTCAATGCTTTCTGTCTCTCATTATCCGTCCATCTGTCTCTTTTTTTTCTTTCCTGCTCAGTTTGAATAGGTTACATTTTTCTAAAGCTGTGGTGACTGATTCAGTTAAGTGCTAGGCCCTCAGCAAAGTGATTGAAGCAATTAATTTAAACAAAACACACGTACAATGAGCCAGACAGTGCATTCACGCTGCAGAGTTTCACAGATTTGCCTCAAGGCTGTTTTTACACGGACACACCGGTGTTTTTTTCACACTTTTTTTTCTCATGTGTTGCTGCATGTTCACCCCCTTCGTGTGCATTGGTGGTTTTGTGCACTTGTGACCCACCCATGGAAAAAAAAAAAAGTACTGAAATAAAAAAAATGAAAAACTAAACAATGTTTGACAACCCCCTTATTCAGATCATGCACAGAGCTCATACAGAGTCAGCTCTGATGGGTCGTTCCTCGTGTCACTGGCGAGTGGGATGGAGCTGCTGCTGAGCACAGAGCCCCTCCTTCCAGGTGGTGTCGGGGGAGGAATCAGCCCGATGGCCAGCCGCTGTAACATCAGCCTGCCTGGAGACCACGGCCCCAGCCTGATCGAGTGGAGGCAGCGGAAGGAGCAGAGCAAGACCAACTACAGCACATATGAACGCAGGCTCAGGGTAACAAACATCACTTTGTTCCACCAGGAAACTGGAACAAATACACAACAAAGTACACTAAACAACTCAGCAGGGGCCAAATATCAATATGTGTGAACAGAACAAATAATCCCCCCAGCTTTGTTTTATCATGTGCAAGGTGACCTTTGTATTAAGCACCAAGAAATGTCACTTTGAAGTGCTCTGTTCAGAGAAAACATAAAATTATACAATATAAACATTAATGTTCATGTTGGGGAACCTGTTGGTGAAGATTAAGTCATGGTGGCTTAGTCAGTAGGAGACAGGTGTCCAAAGCGTGGCTCGAGGGCCATTTGCGGCCCTTTGGATGATTTTGTGTGGCCCACGGCTGCAGTTTAAGAATGGTGTAATTTTGTCCAGCAGGCTTTAGAGGTCGATGCAGACTTTCTGCAGATTATTTGGTAATATTTGTTATATAAAGTTTAGGTTTAACAGCAAAACAGATGAAAAACAGTCTTCTCAAAATGAGCAATATTAAACAAAATACAAACCTTTGGATATAATCTTTTTTATTTTCACTTCATGGTACAATACACCACAAACCTTTACTAGAATGAAGACTTTGGGATAATGATTCATAAATCTGGCCTAAATGTTGCAGTTGATAAAATAATCAAGATGGAAACTGGACATCCATCCATTATCTTTACCCGTTTATTCCATTTTGGGTCACGGGGGTCGCTGGTGCCCATGTCCAGCAATCACTGTGCGAGGGGCGGGGTACACCCTGGACGGGTCGCAAGTCCATCACAGGGACACATAGAGACAAACGAGACAAACAACCATTCACTCTCTCTCACACACTTAGGGACAATTTAGAGTTACCAATCAGCCTAACATGCATGTTTTTGGTCTGTGGGAGGAAACTGGAGTACCTGGAGAAAACCCACGCATGCACGGAGAGAACATGCAAACTCCACCCAGAAAGGCCCCTGGACCGGGGTTTGAACCAGGGACCTGCTCGCTGAGAGGCAGCAGCTCTACCAGTTGCGCCACCGTGCTGCCCGAAACTGGACAGTTTTAAATTAATATAACGTGGCATCATCTACATACGAGTTGATCAACTTTATCAAACCTTCTATAAATCTGTTGTTTCGACTGACAGCTGGATGATTTTTCAAACGTTTGATCAGTCTTGTGGGCCGTCCATGGTCCAAAAGGCTGATCCACCACCTTTTAAAAGGACACACTCAAATTAAGCTTTTATTACTGAGAACAGACTAAAATGAACTTTTCAAACACAAGAAAACAACATAGACCCAACAACTCAAATAAATCAAATCATTTTTAATAAAACATATAAGCTTAGTGTTTATGAAGCTTTTAATGTTTTGGATCTACAAAGTACAACAATTTAAAACTTTCTCCATCAAAATAATTAAACTTTTTTCCAAAATATTGTTCATGTTGAGAGTTAAATTCACATTTTTGTGGCCCATGAGTTGTTTCATCTGGATACTTTTGGCCCACATATGAAAATGTTTGGACACCCCTGCAAGAGGACAAATGTCTCAACAACTCGCCCATCAATGATATTTGTCTCGACACAGAAAGTGTAACACACAAGCCAAATATTTTTTAAAAAGACGTTTTATCTCATGTGAGTTAATTAATTTTTGTCCTCTGGACTCAAGTTTCCTCTCTTTTATCACAAGGCAATTTATTCTTGCTTTTTTATGCAGGCAGTTTTTTTTTTCCTAAATGTCAAGATGATTTAACTAAACTAATGAAACCTGTGCTTGTCTTAAACACACCACCCCATTTATTTTTGCATGCTTGCTGCTTCGTTCAATTTGTAAGGATTATAAATCTGTAACACTGAAAAAGTTTTAACTTTGCTCTTCTTTTTTCAGATGACACTTCTTTATCTTTAATTTGATTTGCTGTTTTCAGGCACACAACAGAAACCTGCTCTCTGTAGACTTTGATCAGAGCACCAGAGTTGGGAAGATCTACGACGACCACAGGAAGTTCACCCTCCACATCCAGTACGACTCGCTGGGTCGGCCGGTGGTTTGGTCTCCCAGCAGCAAATACACTGAAGTGAACATCACCTACTCTGCTGGGGGGCTTTTGTCATCCATCCACCGAGGAGAATGGTCTGAGCAGCTGGAGTATGAGAACAACAGGGTGGTGTCCCGAGCCTGGGTCAACGGCAAGATCTGGAGCTACACATATGCAGACAGAGTAAGAGAAGGAGCTGACCCATTCTGACTAATCTTATGCTGAGATTAAAATGTCCCACATCTGCAGCACCACCTTTAGTTTCTGCTGTAAGAATGCTGCGAATATCAGAAACTAAAACAAAACTGAAAACGATGAAAACCACTTCTGTTGTGGGAAATACCCAACTGAAAGCAGCTCCATTTACAAACTGTAGGTTTTAAAATGTTCTATGAAATAATTATCAATAGTTAGTACCTCGTTATCCTTGACATCAGTTAAAGAATACAACGTATGGAGAAAATGGCTGAAGTGTGTCATTTTGAAAAATATAAAGTTTAATTCTGACCAGATTTAGGAACTACCGTATTTTTCAGACTATAAGGCACACTTAAAGTCCTTTAATTTTCTCAAAAATCAACGGTGAGCCTTATAGTCCGAAAAATACGGTAATGGTGGGACCAAGATCAAAGTGAATTTCTATTTTCTTCAAACAACTCAAACCTCAGTGTGATCGTAGCTGTTCATGTGAATACTATTTATAAACCACTATCTGGCCTATATAGGGGAGTGGTGGCGCAGAGGTTAGAAGATGGGCTTGTGGTCGGAAAGTCGCAGGTTCATCTCCCGGTACCGTCAACATCAAAATGTGGGTGGAAAAGGTGAAACACCCACACCTCTCGCCCCACTCTGGGCCCTCGAGCAAGGCCCTTAACCCCCACCATCTGCTCCCTAACAGGTCTCTCTTGAAAATGAGTTCTCGTGGCTCAATGAGACTACCTGTATAAATAAAGGGTAAATGGAAAAAATAAAAAAATAATAAAAATAAACCACTATCTATTATCATAAGTATGAGTTTTAGGCAGCAGCTGTGGCTGAGGGGTTAGAGCAGCCGTCCTCCAATGGGAAGGTTGGGGGTTCAATTGCACCAGCTGTCACATGCTGAAGTGTCCCTGGGCAAGACACTGAACCCCTCATTGCCTCTGTGTGTCCATCGGTGTATGAATGTGATAAAGCTCTCATTAGTCTCTATAGGATTATTTAATCAGATTATCTTTGAACAGATATAGTAGAGTGCTGTATGAACGGGTAAATGAGGACACAGAGAGTGTTGTAAAGCACTTTGGGTATCTTGATTAGATAGAAAGGTGCTCTATAAGTACAGTCCATTTACCATTTACCTTTGGCGTTATATAGTTATTCCAAATGAAATGTTTTGATATTTGTGATGGAAGTGCCCCCAGGCTGCACAGGAACTCCTAGAGCTAGCTGATGTGACCTTTGTGCATACAAATGAGTTTAATATAAACATCTGTGCAATGTGTAGAATGAACTTATGCTGATATATATTCATAGGGGCCGAGATGGTGTAGAGGCAGGGCAGCCGGCTTGGGACCCGAGAGTCCCAGGTTCGATCCCCAGTCACTGCACATCACGTGGCGTCTCTGGGCAGCACGTCTAATCCCCAAAATGTCCCCCGGGCGCTTTCAATAGCTGCCCACTGCACCACCTGGTGGTGGATGGGTTAAATGCAGAGACTAATTTCGCCATTGTATGGAAACATACAGTGCTGACATTGTGATGACATTATTATTATTATTATTATAAATTAAACGGATTCTTTCATTTTTCTGGACTGGATAATATCGTGCATTGAATAATTAAAAATGTAACGTGAGACGTTAATTATCTTTGACTCACCAACGACAGTGGGTCATTTATTAACAGAATCAAGTTTAACACATCACACATTTACATTAATTGGCAAAAATTGAAAATAACAACAGCTTATTTAGGCTAGTTTTACAAGGAGGAAACAATACGGCGATTGTTTCCCTTGCTTCTGGATTAATTTGCTAGCAGATAGAAGAATTTTAAAGATGGGAAATGAAGTTTATCTTGAGAGAGATGTGTGAAGGAATTTGTCTGTTTTAACCAGAACAACACGCTCCTTTTAGACCAGATTGACCCAACGGTACACTTTGGTTGAGATCCACTCTTTACCTTTGCAGATGATAGTTTCAGCGTTGGTGTAGAGCTTTCCTTTCAACTCTTCCAGCGTCTCCGTAAGAACAGCTAAACCTCGGGAGTCGTGAGATCCTCCAGAACAGACATTTTATAATTCCCTGATCTTCTCTCGTTCAGCTTATTTTCTTCCTCCAGCATCCTGAATTCCAGCCTTCTGAACTCTGGAACTGCATTCTCTCAGCGTTCTCCTCAGCGCTCTTCCCAGAACTGCAGAGAACTTCTCAGAACTACTGAGCTCTCCAGAACTCGACTGGAACTGGAACCTCTCGCAGAACTTCTGTGAACTAGGAAGTGTTGCACCTTTTAAAAAAGGTCACTTCCGGTTCATTTGAGAACTTTCTGATTGGTCGATGGACCAAAACAGAGGTGTGTTTTGTGATGTAAGAGGTTATTAAGAGTCAAGGAAAAAGATTAAGATTGTTTAAGAACAGACAGAAGATATTATGAAGAACTCAGACTTCGTGGAGTCAATTCTCTAGTATCTTGCTGTAAAAGTTAAACATGACATTTCTTTTTCAGTAAACTTGCAGTTGACCAAAACTTGAACTTTGACCAACTTACACACTTGCTCATTGAAGACAGAAAATCAGACAATGCATCATTAACCTGAATTCTACTTTGAATGAGGATTAACAATCATTATTACTGTTTCACAGTTGATTTAAAAATGAGTAGTTCACTTCAACATTTGGAAATGGTTTGAACTAAACAGAATTTGATTATCAAAACATTTGTAAAATAGTAATGATAATAGAAAAGAGAGTGTTCTTTCACTTGATTAATTCAAGAAAGAAAGTCTCAGGATGGGTCAACCTGTATTTCTGGATTCAATTCAATGAAATGACAGTTTCTGTCCCATAAGGTCCTTAAGGTCAGGATTTGACCTCAGGCCTAGTTCACTACAAATGCAACACTGACAGTGCAGTAGTGGTTTCATAAAATGCAGTTGGTTGTTTTTACAATGGAATTGTGTTAAAATGGCAACAGTCCACTTTGGTCTCGGCCCTTCTTCGACTAAACATTAGCAAATACAACTCTTGTCGTCAAGATTGATAATGTTTACAGAGCTTGCAAAATTAAATTTTAATTTTAAAACAAACCCTAAGTGCTGACTAAGTTGTGAACTAATAAGACATTTTGCAAAAGTGAATTTGAAAAATAGTCTTAATATTATTAATTATAAATATAGTATATACCGTCTGTACTTAATGACATGTATTGAAGCATTGTGGGAAATACTGCAGGAAGTTACCTGAAAGTTCTTAAAATTAGCTGAAATATTTAATGGTAAGACATGCAGTCCATAATTAGAGTTTAAAGCGTGTTTTACTGTCAGTTTGTAAATGAATAGGTGGCACTTTCACTATATTTTAACAAGTAATGTTTTTGCTTTACAGTTAGAAATCATAGATTGTTTCCCAGCTCTTTAAATACACAGATTCATATTATTTATCTAAAAATGAATAAATAAATAAGAGGCACAAAACAACATTGTAACTGCTTGAAAAATTAAACAGTTTTTATTAAAACAATAATTTCTTTTCCTCTCCACTGCTGCATATTATACTATAAGTTAAACAGCTTACAAGATAATAACAAAATAAAACTACAATACATAAGAACAACAAAGTTTTTAAGCAGTCTAGACTGAATAGTTGTCAGATGCTGTGCTACAACTAAGCCTCTGTCCTTCTCCCTGTCTTCATGCAGTCCATCATGCTGCTCCTGCACAGCCAGCGCCGTTACATCTTTGATTACGACCAAACAGACCGGCTGCTTGCTGTGACGATGCCCAGCATGGTGAAACACACGCTGCAGTCGCTGCTGTCCATCGGCTACTACAGGAACATTTACACTCCTCCGGACAGCCAGGCATCGTTCGTGCAGGACTACACCCTGGACGGGCGGCTGATCAGGACTCAGTACCTGGGAACGGGACGCAGTGTCTTCTACAGGTACGTCGCAGAAACAGGACTGGCTATTGGTTGGCTAGATCGGCGCATTTATTTTAGTCCACATTTGAGACACCGTGGCACGTTGGTATAAAAATATTAAAGTGACTGTTTCTGTGTGGGTGCTATAATTACATCCATCTATGATCCATCAATGGTGCCCATATCCAGCAGTCACTGTGCGAGAGGCAGGGGACACCTGGACAGGCCACGAGTCTATCACAGGAGCTATTATTACTAAATACCTCATACAACCAGTTCCATGTTACACCAACTGGACTAATGGAGACTGATTGTTTTAATGTCTCATTGCTTTAATAATACTTCTTAACTTCTTCTGCCAGACACATCTGAACTGAGTCACAAAAAAATTTGGAGAATTTATTCAGTTCAGTTTTTAAATAGCACCAAATCACAAGAGAAGTTGTCTGTACAGAACCATTCACTTACATACAAAAGCCCATTAGTACAGTTCTCTATCTAAGGAAGCAGATGTTGAATCTTCACTTCGTTGCAGTCTCCCATCCTGAGCAAGCACAAAGACAACAGTGGAAAGGAAAAACTCCCTTTTAACAGGAAGAAACCTCCAGCAGAACCAGGCTCAAAGTGGCCATCTGCTTCGACTGGCTGGGTTTGAGAGGAACAGGAAGGAGGAACAAACGAACACAGAATGGCAGAGTCAGTAGCATTCAGGTTGTCATGTCTGCTGTAATAAATGGTCTCATTTTAGAGACTTTGAGATACTGTAACTGACAAGAGCTGTTCTTGTTTTAATGAAATGTTAAAGAACGGTGAAGCTCCTCCTTCAGAAATGTTTTTCATTTGACAAATGATGTTTATTTATATTGAACATAAAATGTGTTTCACTGTGCTTGAATGAACTGTACTTATTTTTCTTCCATTGCCTTCTTTTTATTTTTACACATCTTAAGGTATACATCAGCAGCGAAGCTCTTGGAGGTGGTTTATGACTCCAGCCTTGTGACCTTCACTTACGACGAAGCCTCCGGCACTGTCAAGACCATTCATCTCACCCATAACGGCTTCATGAGCTCCATACGCTACAGACAGACAGGTAGTCACAGCAACAAAAAATAAAAGAAAGCCAAACAACCAGAAGCCACAACTATTAAATATTTAATATGTTGAGAAATAAAACGGGCCATTTGAAAGGGTCCTGCGCGTTCATAAATCACTCATTGAGGACTAGTCTCAGCATCTGCTCTCAAACAGTGATGTGAGATTTTATGATTGGCGTCAAACCCCGTAGTTTGGCTTTGAGTCAGACTGGATGGTATCTCATCTGAGATCGACACAGCCACAAAGAGATGTGTGAAAAAACATGAGCATGTTCAAGTGGAAGAGATTGTGGTCTACCACAGCTGTAAATTTGAGACCACCCCCCGGGCTTTCAGCTGTGCAACTTCTTTCCCACCTCTGCAATCAGAGACCTATCAAAGTAAAACAAGCAAATATATAAATATAAGCTAATACGATTTGGGCTAGGTGTGCTCCGTGCTTGTCTGGGAACAACCACTGTGTTCATTTTTCCACTCACATAGAGTCGTGGAAAAAGAAAGTCTTTTATTCTAGGGTTTTAGGAATCAGGACATGAAACTTCTCTGGTCTTTACCAGGTTTTATAGTTGATTCAACTTAACTTCAGGTGTACAAAAACACACAACAGATTCTACCCTGTTGTTATTTATTAAACAAAAACAAAACCAATATGAAAAAGTTGAGTCCACCTTTTCTGCTTCCATTGAATTTATTGGGTAAAATAGCAACCAGCTGATAATAGTCAAATGCAACTGATCAGTGTGATCGCCCTTATAAAAGCAGGAATTTTGCTGGTGTGGAGTTTGCTGTGTTAACACAATGCTAAGGAGGTGTTTACCCATAATGCACAGCAGGGGCGATTATAGGATCTGTTCTTTAAGGGTGCTTAGCCCCAACTGTTGACAAAGGCACTAGTCATGAACAACGCAGTTGCAAATGTTGTCAAAAGCATTTGTAATGTGTGAGGTGCACAATAGTGGAGGGGAGGGGGGGTAGCGGTCCTCCCCCAGAAATTTTTGAATAAAGTTCATGCCATTTCCTGCATTCTGGTGTATTTTAATGGGTTGTTAAACATCTCCGTTTACCTACATTTGTAAACACTTGATTCAATAACTATTTTAGAGGGCAACGAGAAGTAGCCTGACCAACAGCACTCCTTGTGTGATTAGAGCATGCTTCTCTCATGCATCCTACCCCCTCACGTTGAAAATTGCCAGCACAAAAAAAAAAAATCTGTATGCCTTTTTTGTGGCTGTCTATTGTCGTCGCTGTTGTCCATTGTTTTCATCATTCTTTGTTGAATTCAGGTCTCTCTTGTAAATGAGTCCTCGAGGATCAATGGGATTTACCTGTCTAAATAAAGGTTGAATGAAAACTAACGTAGCACTAAGCTAGTGCTTGCTAAGGTGCTACAGACATAGTGCTCCGCTTTTCATTCCACAACCTATGCTTTGTGTAAAATCAGTGCAATGCTAAATCCCGACAATGTTATCAGAGGAAAAGGGGGTGATGCTCCTGCAGGTAAGGGACGTTTCACTTCAGGACAAATTGTGATCGCTGATAGGTCAGTTGCTGACAAGCCTGCTGGATTGATTGACAAGTGGTGTTGACAATCTGGCTCGTACAAGAAAATAAATCATACATTTTACTGGCTTGTTGAAGTGTCAGCATTTCTTCAAGTCTCAGTCCAAATTTATTCAATATTTTGGTGAATCTAAGGGTTGAGAACTGTTTCCTTACAAAATCCTAATGATGGTTTCTTTACTTTTCAGGGGTGCTAAGTTAAAATTTAGGGGTGCTTGAACACACCCAAAAAGAGGCTAAAATTGCCACTGGTGCACAGTGCCATGTTTGGCAAGAAACAGCCACAGTATATCAGCATAACCTCCTTAAATCACCTATAAAGCACAGTCATGGTACTTTCGGCATAGCAACACCTAGCTCACAGTGTATTAACTTATATTTATATATTAGCTTGTTTTACTTTGATAAAAAGTAAAAGATGATTTAGACTTGTTTTACAGCCACAGGACCGGGGCATGTTCTAGTCATTGAATCGGCCATGAACTCCTCTGTAGAGGAGTACTCTAGAGCAGGGGTGTCAAACTCACTTACAAAAGGGGGCCAAAATTAAAACATTATTCAAACTAAGGGCCAGTTTCAGAATATACAGTAATTCAACCTTTATTTATACAGGTTAATCCCATTGAGCCTCGGGGACCCATTTACAAGACAGACCTGAATTTTTAACAAAGAGTGATGACATTAACTTGTTGGATAAGACATAAACACTTGCGGTGAAAAGTTAAACTGTGCAGCCTATCAGCATGGCTAGCTTAATCAGGTTAGTTAAGTGGTTCATTAACATTACATTAACTCAAGTTAGATACCCAACATCTTTTCTTGGTCACATGTTCCTAAACAAGCGTTTGATTGGTCTCATTTGACATTCTCTGTTGCACTTTTGACATCATAATCAAAGATTACTGAAAAAAATTATAGTGACTAAAGTATTTTATATATAAAATAACATCTTGGAGGCCAGATAAGATGTCAACGAGGGCCACATTTGGCCCCCGGGCTTTGAGTTTGACACATATGCTCTGGAGTCTTATGTGAAGCCTTCTGTTTGAAATTTGACCAAACTTGGACAATTATTCCAAACACATCTTGAAGTCTGTAACAGAACAGCTGAAAGAAAAAAATCAGGATGATGCTGGTTCAAATAAAGTTCAGACCTCAGGCTGAGATCAACCTTGAGGTTTCTTGTCTAAGCGAAAAGGGCAGTGCTCATAGGGAGCCGCACCCCGGTACACTTCAGTTTATCCTTCAGACGGCTGTACGGAACAAAATGTTGCTGTAAACTGTACAATGACAATAAAGTTGATTCTGATTCACTCGTCACAGATGATTGCTGAGACCTTAGGAGAGCTGTGCACAAAAACTGAATGACGAATGGAAAGACAATTGTCAGCAAACCTTAGCGAACTGAAGAAATGTGTAAAGAATAGTTGTGACTGATAAACATATACGGGCACAATGTCTGTGAGTTATTGCTGGTGAAGGTGGCTCTACATGTTTCGTTTTTGTTAAATTATTTTTTTTTTTTACGCTGTGTGGGAGTTGAAATAAGATTTAAACATTTTAGAATCTTGTAAAAACCAGATAACTTTTTATGTTCTGATATGTACACAAAACTCTAAAGCTCAAGGAGGATGGACTTTCTTTTTCCCATGACCGTGTCTGTAAGACTGAAATCTGAAGTCTTCTCTAAAGCTGTAACCATAAAGAACAAAACAACGGTTTCACCTTCTGACACAAAATTAGAAAGACATAGCGCTGCCATTAGGTTATGGCTGGACAATCAATAGAAGCCTTTAGCTGTCACAGCAGGTATTTACTGCCATTGTTAATACAGTTCAGCAATTCTTTCAAGTTATAGAGTTTGTCCAGGGTCGTTGGGAACGCTCTCATCTCTGCTGCTGGTTCACTTTCCCTTCCTTTGTGATTGGTGAGCCATGATCAGGTGTCACTAATCTGCGAGGTGCAGCTATGTGTGTATGTGTGTGCGTGTTTATCACTTTGCCCTCCCTGTGAATAGACTCTCACCTTTCCTTTAACTGATCTAATTTCAGCAGAACAAACAGAGCCTTAGAGAGGGGAGAGATAGCGGTAATTGTCCCTTGAGAGGAGACAAGGAAAAGTAAGGAACTAAAAAAAAAAAAAACAGGCGGTGATATAAAGGTAGGCGAGGGAGTAAAAAGAGGAGAAAAGGAGAGAGAAAGATGACAGCTCAGAGAAGTGACAGCTCGAGAAGCGAGACGAACAGACTGCGAGTTCCCCAGGGCTGTGGAAAAGCCTCCGTCTCTCTCACAGCGCTTGTGCCATTTTTCCATTAACAAAAGGCTCCGAATCAACATTCCACAGGAAATAAAAATAGGAGATGTAACGCTGATCCAGCTATCTGGTGGCTCCAAAGTGAGGCACTAAGTCATTTTAACTGCAATCAGGGCCATCTCAAAGAGCAGCATAATGGTGTTTCATTAACAAGCCCTATTTTTTTCCAAAAGCAGGATGAGCTACAATAGCTAGCAGTGGAAGTGAAGAATGGTGTTGTTAATGTCGATGTCCTGACATTAAGCAGCACATTGGCTCATCATGGCTATTGTCTTTAGATTTCATTATCTCGCCATATTAAAGGTCACCATAGAAAGTGCTGTAGCAGTGTGGAGATAGTGAAAATTGAATGGATTGAACAAAGTCTGTCTATGTTAATAATGTTGAAATTGTCTTCTTTAATTCAATTAACTAAGGCAATTAATAATAATAATAATTAATAATTAAGGCAGTCTTGTAAGAGTACCTTGAAGGCCAATTTTACAAGCTTTTTGTGCAGATGCACATGAGAAAAAGATTGTCGTTGACATGCTAATGTGTTTATGAAACAACACACTGTGTCTGTATGTCTAAATAAAATCCTCACCTCCTCGTAGGGCCCCTGACAAGCCGGCAAATCTTCCGCTTCAGCGAAGAAGGCTTGGTCAACGCCAGGTTTGACTACAGCTACAACAACTTCAGAGTCACCAGCATGCAGGCTGTCATCAACGAGACCCCTCTGCCTATTGATCTGTACCGTTACGTTGACGTGTCCGGGCGAGTGGAGCAATTTGGCAAGTTCAGTGTCATTTTCTACGACCTCAACCAGGTAAGAAGCTAACAGCTAAAATTAAAGTAACCACACTTTACACTCTGTTGCTCCAAACTCAGGTACTTGTACATAGAGGTACAACAGGTAAGATATTCATTGTTTATAACCTGTTTTACCAAAGCATACTTCAAAGGATCTGAGCAATGGCTTTAATATATAGCAACAATAATAATCCAGTGTAGTTTTACCCTGATAAAATGTCACTAATTACTATTTTAATAGGACCTGGAGGCCAGTACACTGTGCAATGTAAAATTAATTCATGGCCATGAACACACAGCTGAGTGGATGAGTGCAGTTTATCACCTTTAGCTCATTGTTATGGTTTTATGAGCCCTTGGTGCAAGTTTGCCAGATTAATTAACTGATCCCAGCTACGGGCAGGTAAAATAATTAATTAATTAATTAATTAATTAGGTAAAAGCAACTAAAATTCAAGGTTTTTCTTTTGTTTGTTTGTTTGTTTCAGAATCAGAATAAACTTTATTGACATTGCACCGAGATACAATGAAAACATGTACGTGCAGTCGTCCGAAAGATGGGCGGAGTGCACGAAGCTGCTACTATAAAAAGCGCGGCTCTCTTATTCTTATTCAGAATAATATTTTGCTTAGATGAGAAAAGGGAAGAAAACACGAGGAGAGACGATATAAAAAAGATCTCTCATGCCGTGTCCTAGACACGGCACGATTTGTGGCATCAAAAAAACCTACCACAGCAAAGCAACATAAGTAGACGTTATACATGTACATATAGGCCGGTGAAGACATTGAATGCTGTTCACTTTTGTTCTTTACCCATGTAAATGTATAAGTTCCAAAAAGCCATTTGGTTTTATTTAGTTAATTTATACCAATTCACAACAAAATTTGTAGAGCACAATTAACAGAGATAGTAAGCATGTTAAGTTGATATTTTAAAAAATACGTCAATTTATTTTAAAGTTATTTAGTTTCAAATGGAATCTAATTGAGCCCAATTTTTTTTTTTTCTTTTTTTCCTTTCTCTTTTAGTGCAGTATAATTCATGGTCATATTAAGTACTAATTTCATGATCGGGTCAGGTCAGGCTTTTGATGCGGTTTTAAAAGTGACTGTGTTTTGTTTTGTTTTGTTTTTTCCCTTTGGGTGTGATGGCATGAGGCTGTTGCCCTGGATTACCTGCAGATTATTATTCACCTCGAGTTTGGATTGCGGTGGATTAATATTTTTTCTTACTCAGGACTGCAGCAGAGGCACACTGAGATGTAGTAGAGGCAGGGCAGCTGACTTGGGACCCGGAAGTCCCAGGTTTGATCCCCAGTCATTGCACAGTGTTTCCCCTACCATTATACAAGCGGGGTGCCCCACCCCATCAATAGAACTGAACACCCCGCCTACCAAACCGAACTTGCCTCCCACCCGGCACTGACATAGCACTAAGCTAGTGGTGCATAATACAGGCTCTTCAGCTAATAAGCTAAAGGCAGCGCTCACGTTGCCTCTTCTCTCAAGCTGACCCCACACACACACTCAAAAACTGTCTCTAAAAACAGTGCACAACTCAGACGTATCACGCTAAGCTAGCAGCATGCAATACAGACGCTATAGCTAAAAAGCTAAAGGCACATCTTCCCTCATGCTGAAACC